CAATCCTGCTACCTCCCCTTCCCCTACAGGTGTTCATACCAAGAACCTAGCCTGTAGTAAGTGGCCACCTTGGTCAAGAGGCTATGAGGGCTCTGAGTCCAGGAGAAGCAGGAGGGTAGGCGGGTACTAGGAGCAGGCATCCAGATCACAGGGCATCAGAGAGAATGAACAGGCAGATGGCACCTGTGTGCTCACAGCAGAAGGGAAGTTGTCATCTTCTGCCCAGTGGGAAACTGCCCGCATGTGAGGTTAGTCCTGGGCCTGCAGGGGGGCCTGGCTCCGAGTGAGGGCACTAGGCCATCCTGAAACTGGCCTGCTCCCTCTCGAACCTGGCAACCTCCGCTCTTGCCAAGGGGCCTCCTTTGCGGGGTTAACGGGTACTTTACTGAAGAGCTACCAGCCTGGTGAGATCTGGACTTATACCAAAAGGCCACCATCACCACCAAACACCTCCATCTCTTTGCCTCAGGCTCAACGAGGTAGCCTGATTTCAGACGATCAGATGTTTCCTTTGGATTAAAAGCCCCTATTAAAATACAATGTACTATAAATTAACTTGAGATAACAGATCGAGCCAGGGTTAATTGTTTAAACTAGCAGGCAGATGTAGAACGAAGAGACTAAAGGCTGAGATGGGAGACACAGGTAAGACAGTTCTAGGTGGGATGCTAAGGGGATGATGGTGGTGGAGCAGGGTCGACACAAGAGCACCTAGTTCAGAGCACAATGAACACGCTGAGGTGAAGGACGAAATCCCCAATCCAACCATTTGCTTCTCAATGAAACTCAAAGTTGGTTGTACCCTTAACTGGGAAAATCACGCAGTGCCGAGGGCATTCCTATGCTTCGCCTTGGTCTCCGCTATCATGGCTGAAGCTGTAAGATGCTGAGGGAGGACTGGGCGTGGGTGAGCAGGGAAGACTCCCACAAATAACAGAATTTAGAATTTATCTAGAAAGCCCCAGCCCCAGACTTGCTATGAGCTATCGCAGGCAGTCAGGGGCTTTCTGCGTCATATTTCATTCCCCTGCCAATGGAACCCATCAAAACAACTGTTCAGATTCTTTGGCCTCCTTCCGGTAACCACCGCTCAGCTGGAACAAAGGGAATTAGCTACACCGTCAGCCGAGAGAGGCCAGCAAGATAAACACCCCATCGCATGACACCATGCACCCGGGCCTTCAGCAGGTGTCTGGGGACTAAGCTCTGGGCGATGCCTCCATCTTCCCCTTTGCTATACTTTCCTCCATGAGTTCCCCCAACTGCTTCGTGAGGCGGCGGCTGTGGTTAAAACATTAGGTTCTGTCAGTTGGGTGCACTAATGTGCAATTGGGACAGAGGACAGGAGGCAGGGCCCATCTTTCCACTTCTAGTCAATTCCAGGGCAGCCTGCTTCCCCACCTTCCTGCTTGGGGCAGAGACAGCAGCCCCTCCTCAGGGCCCGCCCAGTGGTTTTGTTCAGTCTTTCTTGGAACATTCCTCCAGGCCTTTGATGACGTTGGGAACACCTAATCCTCACAATTATTTTTTGTCTGTTTAGATGACTTGATGTTTTCTGTTTTCTGCAGCTGACTCTTACCCCTTTTTGTAGATATGTATACTTTTCAGATGTAAAATCATCCGGTTTTCACTAACATTTCAAGACATTTCCCTGAAGAAGACCTCCGGAATGAGACTGATGGCTGTGATTGCTATAGCAGAGACTTTAATATTGCTTCTGAGATTTGCTGATAGATCAATCGCTCTTATTTTCAACCCAGTGCCCAGATTTTAGGGTCTGAGCCCAGCGGTCTGCCATGAATGCTCTCTGGGTATCTTCTGGGTGTGGAACCTTTGACAAAGCGCAGGAGAGGGACCTGAGGGAAGGAGCTTGCAAAGGTCTCTACTTCTCAGAGGTCAGCATTCATTTTCAAAGTTATAATTCAGACAATCCATTTCAGAGTCTCCTTCAGAGCCAAAGTACATAGCTGACCCCATTCAGGATTTGTGTTTTAAACTCCAAACACAAATCAAGGTTGAAGAGGTGTGTTTTTATTTCTGGGGAATGATCTGATTACTACTTGCTCTTCGGACACAAAGGCTGATTCATCAACCACATATGAAAGTTATTTATTTGGCTGATAAAGGAAAAATTCACATTTGGGCCATTTTCTTTTCCTCAGCACTTTATTATTTTCTATGTGACTTTCATTTGGGAAAAAAAAAAAACATTTAAAAAATACTCTGAAATAGATAATTTTGTTTTTAAACATTGGGCTGACATCTCTTCTACCAGCTTTATGTTAGGGTGACCAAGAAGTTGACAGTTCTTGCAAAACACAGTGATTTCTAAACCCCACGGAGCTAAGAGTCTCTCTTCTATAGGCCCTGATAACTCCTGCTCTATGGAAAAATTTTGAAACACTCCAGACTGCCATCAGTCCTGGGGCTAAGATTTGTTTATGGAGCATGTGTTTGTTTGCTCATTTATTTATTCATTTATTTTTACATGCAGGTTTTCCTGCTGGGACTAAAAATTTTTCAACTTTTGAAAAATTCACAATTAAATCAATCTCTTAGTGCTTTTGTTCCTACCAAGTCAAGGAGCAGGTCCCCCCGGTATTTCCTAATCTGGCAGAAATGACTAGAAATTTTGGCCTGGCTTCAAGATACCTACACCCAGTAGGAAGATTGACATGTTTCCAACCGCATGACCTGTTCACTGCTGGGCTAATGGATTCTTTCGCCAGGAGTGCCTCGGCATTTCTGGAAAATCAAGAGCTCAGAAAATGAATGCATTGTTTAAACTAGGACTCTTCTCTTTTTCTACTTTAGCTGCCGTTCCATGTTTTGCTTGTGTGCAAAAAAAACCCCGGAAGAATTCTTGTGAAACCTGACATCTAGCCTCTTCGAAAGACTCAGAAATACAAAATACATATTATGAGATGTGAGGTCAGATGTACAGTGTGGTGGGTGTACATGAAGCCATACTGCATGGTGGTTAAGGGAATGGGCTCTGGAGCCGGGCAGACGAATTATGTAATTGCTCTGTGCCTTGGTTTTCCCATCAAGACAAGGGGCATAAGGAGAGTACCTACCTGACTGGTGACTGTGCAGATTCAATTAGATAATACACATGAAAAGACGAGAACAGGGCCTGGTCTGTAGGGTGCATTCGATGAATGATAGCTACTTTTCACATGATTAGGATAAAAAGCACAGGAGGAGATATAGGAAGCAATTTCATTCTTATAGGCAACAGTCTAAATTCTTAAAATTGCTCCCTAGATGATCATTTTCTCTTAAGGGAACTTATATTTCCGTATGTTTCTGAGAGCACATGCCTGTCTCAAAGAAACATGCATTTTAAAAAATCTATTACTGCCTCCCTAAAGTAATCTGTGACTGGAATATTTACACAGTTGTGAGGGATGAGCAACCTCTTTTTAAAATCATCTCTCTCCTTCTGTTGTTCTAGGTAATTTACTAACAAGTCATTCCAAAAGCATTAAGCGAATACTCTAAGTCATGGCACAGTGGTTTAAAAAAATCTGCCATGTTCTCTTTTCAAGACTGATAAGCTAATACCTCTAGCTTATTTCCTCAAATTGTAAAAACGTCTGTGTCTCGAATCTCACAGGAAACCCATAAATACTAATCTCGAAATAAATTTAGAATCCTATCATACCTCGGATATGCTGGAACAGAAGAGAAATCTCCCCCAACGATAAGCATCCAGGAAGAATTTTCACTGTTGGTAGGGAGAGATTAATTGGAAAACTCAAATGCCCAATATTTAACCACAGGATGATTATCAGATTGATGACAGAGTTTGGTATAAGAAAAACTTTTATGAGGAGAAAAATTCATGTCGAATAAATTTAACCTGAAGAAAAAAAATGATTTGGCCAAAGCATCTAGAATTTTATAAAACTAAACTATCTAAATGTCTTAAATAAAAAAGGAAAAAATGAAAGATAAGGGTATCACCACCAACACAAACATCAAGTTTAAATCTAAGAAAGGTAATTAGAAATTCAAATTAGGTAGAATATCTATTTTTAATTGGACCATTAAAGAACCCCATTTTAAGCTTTTGTGGAAAACAATAAACCTATCCTGAGGGGGGAAAAAATCTTGCCTTCAAATTAGCTCGGTATATTTAAGAACTCAAGTGTCATTTTCAAATTACAACCTCACAAATTATACTAAAACTTTATCCAGACATATTTGAATCATAACCCTTGTTACAGAAATTTTTCTATTTGTAATAAGAAAAACGTTTTAGGAGACCGGGAAATAAATATTTTCCATAAGACCAAAGAATACATTCCAAACCGTTTGAAATTCTGGGGCGGGATGAGGCTGATTGCATGTCTCAGTAGGGTACCATTCACGGGAATGCAACTCATGGGTTCTAGGACACATGGCAGGATGTAAACAACTTGAGAGGAGGCACCAAGTTGTGACTCTGGCATCTGGGGAAGTTTTATGGGATTAGAAGAACTTTTGCTGTTTGGAGACATCCCCGCACATAAGCAGGTGCTCCATCATATGAAATCACCAAATCGCTCTGTTGGATATCTCACTGTTTCCATGGCATATTGAGGAGTTATGAAATCAGGAACAAATCCAACTTCTCGACATTGCTATGAATTAAAAGAAGACTGTTTTTAAATGAATTCTAACCCATGGCCATGGTTTCTACTGAGTTCCTAAGGACAGAGGGAAAAAAATTAAGGTCATTTAGAATAGCTGTTGATTTGAAGGTCAATAAAGCACTATTTATAAAATGATTGAATTTAGAAATCGATATCTTTTTAGCAATAAATTGTTACTCTGGCAATTCCAAGTAGTCTTACTTTGCAAAATAGATAATAAGGAATAATAAAACAGAAAAAATTTTACTGCATTTTAAAATTCCACGAATATACAGTAAGTAGAAACATATGGGATGTTCTGTCCCTTTTGCTTTCAGGGAAAGCAAAGCTGGTATCCACCTTGGCCCACCAGAGACTTACGTCGTATCCGCTGTTACGGATTCCACGTCGGGGTCGCTCCCGAGTCACCAGAAGGTCCATTTCTGTTTCCCCTGGACTCGGGCTATTCAGAGACTGCCGGCTTCGGTAGACAGAGTTCTTCGTCTGTTGCCTGAAGAAAATTCAACAACTGTTATGATGCAGCAAATGCCCTGACAGATGGAATTCTCCACTGATCCAAACTACAGGCAACCAATGAAGGGTTTGGTTGGATTTGCCTCTCAAATATCAGAATTGATGGTATATGTTCCCCAGCCATCAGGGGCCATAGAAATAGTGGAATAAAGATTTGTTTTCCAGATGCTGTAACCATTTGGCTGAATCGTAAATGCTCTTTCATATGGTAACTACAATCAACTGCAACACTGCAACCTCATCTAAAATCCTGCTGATGGCAAGGCCAGGGACTTGCCCTTGACCCTCTAAAACAGCTAACACTAGAAGAACAAACTTGCTTTTGTTGACTGTTGACTCAGCAGCCTCCTGTTCCTTTTGATCTTTCTGATTCCACATGCAGGGTTGCATGATGTGTTAATAAACCCTGTGTCTAATGGCTTAATGCTGCCACTGTTGATTTTCTTTTCTACCTTTCCCACAACCATAGTAGATTCCCTTCTGGGCTAAGAAGCCATAAACTTGGAGACAGTTTGGGGCTGTTAGTCCGTCTTTCTGTCTATCTGTCCATCCGTCTATCCATCTGTCCGTCCGTCCATCCATCCATCCATCCATCCATCCATCCATCCATCCATCCATCCAACCATCGACGCATGCATCCATCCATCCAATATTTACTGAGAGCCTACTATGCTCCAGTCACTGGGGAACATAATGAAGATCCACAGTGAGCAAGACAGAGCTTACATTCTAATGAGACACACAGTCTACATAATAATTCCAGAGCGATAAGTGCTATGAAGAAAAACAAGGACATGTCACAGAGGGTAATGAGGGTGGAAATGACTTTAGATAGGATGGTCAGGAAAGGACTCCTTGGGGAGGTGACATTTCAGCTGAGACCTAATTAGAGGTGGCTGCATGCCCATCTGAGCGCAGAGCATTTCAAGCCCAGGGAGTAGCATGTTCAGAGGCTCCACTCAAGGCCCCCCGCCACCCCGCCCCTTGGGAATACATATTTGTCACCACTGTCTTGTTTCCATTGGCATTACGAGAATTTTGTTGAGGAGGGGTAAGAAACAGCAACAAATGAAGGTTATGGCTATACTTTTTTTTTCCACAAGAGGCAACCCTTATGAGTGGGGAGTGAGGTCCAACGGGAACAGGTGACTTTCACGTGATCCTGCAGAGTGACAAAGGTGGTATAAAATCACTGCCTTCCTTTTCATCCAACAATAAATGTCTCTTTGTAAATAACTTGCACTTTAGAGCATCTATCTTGAGTGAATTCCCCAAATACCACCTATTTTATGCCTCGGTTCTAAGATTCTATCCATTCATGGGTTGAAAGTGAAAAGGCTGCGTGATTTATTCTCAGAGATTATGTGGGAAGCCAGAAACCTGGCAGGCACACATGCCTTTTCATGACCACACACCCAGTTAGTCACAGCATGACAGTCACATCCTGTTAGTCTAGAACAAACATTAAAACACCCAAGGTAAAACGCGACCCTTACAATTAGCCCAGGGAATAAAACAGGCACCAATGGACCTACTCTGTCACCACGAGGAGCTCACACCTATTTAGAGAGCACTTGTGTTCTCTGCTTGCCTGGTACCCATAACCACCTTCTTTAGCAAAGAGCACTATGATGTTCTAGGGGCCCCTACCCTTCGTCTAGGAATTGGCATGTGACCCAGGCTGCACAATCACAGCATTGTATCCCCATGGCCACATTGATTGGTCAGAAGGTAGGCACATGAGTTATTCAATGAGACTGAGTCCCAGGCTTTTGCTAGAGCAACCAGGAAAGAGGCATTCTCTTGGAATTGAGGTTTCTAAGAAGGTAGGATATGAGCCTAGAGGTGCTGGCAGCCAGTATGCCACTATGAGGTAAGAGCCTGCCTGAAAAGGAGCCAGCAAAGACTGAAGAGAGAACAAGATAAATATGGACGATGTCGTATGATGCCTTGGATCTGAAGCCATGCCTGAAGCCTTGACCTTTCAATTATATTCGATAATAAATTCTCTTTTTATTTAATCATTTTCTGCCAGATTTCCATCATTTGTACCCAAAGGAATCCTGACTAATATAAGAGCTTAAACTTAATAATAATAAACCGTGCCCTATAGTTATCTGCAATTAGAGACTTCCTTTAGGAAAGGAGCACAACCCTGTGAAACAGAATTGTTCTGAGTGATTCACACTTTAAAGCAGACCCCAAAGAATTTTCTTCCTTGACCTAATTACAAATTGTTTTTTTTTTTTTTAAAGGAGACTTCACTACCGTCCTGAGATTGCCAATTAGCCCATTTAGAAAAGATTTACTAATAAGGGTGGTGGGGGAGTAAATACTAGGATTAGTAATTGACATTTAAGTAGGTTATTTTGGAAGTATTTAGAATACAGAGTAAGACTGTGTATGCCCTTTCAAGAACCATGAATGTGGGTGAAAGCTTATACACTGGAGTGCAATTCAGTCTCTTTTTCTATCAAAAACAATGTTCCACTATAACACACTGCTTGAAGGCTGCTGTTTACATGGATCTCAGTTGACCAGACCATCAGTGTGTGCACAGTATGCAAGCAGCTACTTAGAAATAGATTAGGCTCTCAGGAAGAGGAATTACTTATTTTAATCAAATAGAGAGTCATGAGGTATATTAATTTCTTGTTGGTATTTTGCTATGTTCTTTAAAAGTTAATACATTTTGAAACTTACAAACTTGAGAAGTAAGTTTTTTACTTCTGAAAATACTGCTGGGTGGATAACGATAGATTTCATTTGGATTTTTAGAGGCTTTTTAATCCCACTATAGTTCAAGTAAGTTCCCAGACTGTGTTCTATGGAAGCCCAGAGCTCCATAAAGATGGACTGGAGCCACTGAGAAGGAGGAGGGGGAGGCCTGCCTCCATCAGAGCAACTCCGTTTTTATAAGTTATTGCCTTAGGTCAGGTTCTCCCAGAAGCAGTCTCTGTGATGATTTAAGTGCAAGTGCTTTACTTGGGAGAGGGCTGCGGGAAGCACAAACTAGGAAGTGGGAAGATGATGGCGGGAAGGGAAGGAGGCTAATAAAAGGCGCGCTATAGAGCAGATTAGTGTTTGGGGCAACTGGGGCTCCAACTCACTGGAGAAGTGTGGGAGAAAGTCATTTTAAAGTGTAGATTTTATTTTAATCAGGCATGGCAAGATCAACAGATCAGATGAACTGCCATTGAAAAGATAGCTTGTTATATTCACAGATGCCAGGAGGTGGGGGGCCCCATGGGGAAACAGCAGGGTCAGTCACAAGGCAGACAGAGGAGAGAAAAATGTGGGCAAGAGCCCTTATTGTGGTGTCCACGGGAAGGAATGGACAAGGCAGGCTAAGTAGGCTTAGGAATGGACCGTCTGACTATTTCAGCAGACTCTGGGGCACAGGGGCTGTCCCTAGTTGTCTTGTACCTGGCTGGTACCTGGCTGCGATGATTAGGACAGGGTGATTAGGGGGCAGTTGGGCTATGGGCTCTGGCTTGTTGGTTTGCATATGAAAGGTGTATTTGCAGATGAGCCCTCTACTTTTTTTAGGAATTGGCTAGACAACCCTGGGAGGGGCGTTTTCTCCAGGGTCAGCAAGGCCCCAAATGTCAAATCATCGTGCAGAAATTAGAATGCCGTTATTACAACAGTGTAATACTGTTTACATTCTGGAATTCTCTCGCCAAGGGTATTTATCCATCAGTTCCTCTTTGTCACTGACTGAGGCTGCTACAGAGCAACCTAGCTACCCGAAACTTCTGGTCAGGGGATGCCATGAAAAAGCCCTCAAGTCGGAGCCGTAGATGCTCACAGTAAGTAGGATGCTGCCCGCCTGCAGGGTGCAGTGGGAGCCGAGGGGGCCCGTGGGAAGTGGGGCAGGGTGGGGACTCTGATAGTGTTGGCCTCAGTTATATTACATACTTTGTGTCTTGGGGTAAGAGTTCATAACATAAAAATGGGCTGTCTGCTGGTTTGAAAGAAAAAGCTGTGAAAACTCTTCTAAAAGATTTTGAGGTGAGTCAACATTGGAATCTAAACTTTGTCTTTGATTTGATTTATTTAGGTCTCAGGGTAAAATTCTAGTACTGATGCTGTCTCTGGAGTAGAGAATGATTCCATCACTTGTGTCTTGAAGTGGCTGGATTATAGAGAGCAGAACCTCTGGAGAGCTGAACTGCAAATACCAATTAACAGGTAGCTCTAACCTGCAATAACAGATTAACACACAGTAGGCAGCCTCTGGAATCAACAGCGGAGTGTAACAGAAAACACCACAGAGCTTACTGAGTTTTTGTCACTGTCTTTTTCTCTTAAGCTTTCCCTCCCAATCCCATCACTTGTCAGTCTCATTTCCATTCCCACCCGATTTGTGGTTGTCCCTATTTTTTCTTTAATGGGTCAAAAAACTTTTTATTTTTGGTGCTTTAGAGTTATTAAATCACTTCTTCAACAGACATTTACTAAGAATTCGCTACACACTCACAGATCAGCAGGCCACCAAAGGGCCTTAAGAATCTGGCCCGAACCTATGTTAGGCAGTGGACATGCATCTCTACAGAAAAGTTTTGTTCATTCTCCTTATAAAAAGCCTCAATTGAAATATTTATTTTTCAAATAGCTTCCAAGCTAAATTCCTCTGATTTGCACATGATCATTGATTCATTTTCTGAATTTTCCGTACTCCCCTAAAAAACCCCAGCTTCCTGCACCAGTCTATAAAAGGCTACTCAAGAAAAAAGTCTCCAAGTGCAAAGTGAAAGCTAAAGAAGCTCCAAGCAGCCCATAAAATCCATCTCTTCTTTTCTTTTTTCTACAGTTATTAACACAGTGACACATGCATTGTGATCTCTGTCACAATTTTATATCAATAGCTTGTTATGCCCACCGAGCCTAATTAGAAGCATAGTTAGTGAAGCACTGGTTTAGAATTCCTTCTTTTTTTATATCGCAAATAAATTATGTTTATTCTATTCATAAATTTAGCCCCACCTCCCACGGCTTGATTTTGTGGCTTCCATCCAAGCCTGTCACATAGTCATTTTTGCTTTTAATAAATACCCACTCAGGCCAGGAACTGCCCTGTCTCACCCAGTCCATGTAGGGTACATCTGCCAAGGCTATGTGGTAAATACTTACTGAAACTGAATAAAAAGGTGAGGCATGAAATTTACTTTTCTTGTGTAAGAGCCACTAAAATAATTGAAAAATATAATGTTCCTTGATCTGGAAGTTGCATAAACAGGTAGGTGATAATTACAAATTGACCCACCTCTGAAACAGCCAGCCATGGTTTGGAAATAGCATTAAGCTAAAGGACAAATATTGTTTGCCCAAGTATTTTTTTCAGTGGCTTCAATTATTCTCTTCCAGACTCATTTACGGAGCACCTGCTCACACAGACCAGCATGGTCCAGATCATCAGCCTGAAAACATGACAGTCCTAAGGTAACAGATTAAGGGGCCAGGACTATATTGCACCCTCCGCCCTCATCCCATCAATGATACAGTGACCTTCAGAGAAGCCTGTAGCAACTGCACCTGTTTTTAGATTCAGTGAATGGGGCACACAGTTCTGGGTCTGCATCCAACACGTGTTCGATTTCCTTTGGGGCTTTTTCATACATCTTTTTCCTTTCCGTCTGAGCCTTGTTTGCCTCCACTACAGGGAAATCGTAATATCCCTTCCTCTTGGCTTTGAGGCGCAGCTTATTCCGATAGTGCTCGATGTCTGACTTCTGCTTCAGGGCTTTGTTCACCTAGAGAAAGAGACAGTGTTAGGCCCACACCTGACCCAGCATGATCAACAGATGGGAGGCTTTTATCAGAGGGTCATAACTCCAGGAAACGTTGTTCTAGGCTTCATGTCTGGTCCTTTGAGCCAGCCAGAGTCACCTGCGAACCATTCCAAGATCAGCTTACACAACAATGGGCCACGAACACTGTGGAGTCTGACACTCACCTAAGCTGCTTGAGCCCTTCCATCAGGGCCTCTTTCTCCTTAGTCTACCTGAGTCTGCTCAGGCCTAGACCTGACTCCATGCTGTTAGCTTTATGGTGTGGGCCTTCATTCCACCCAAACCCTTTTGGTTCCCCTGTACGGGAGCCTCGGACTTGGCAGCGCAGCTAGATCTTGGAGCCCTGACTCTAGCTCCAGCTCTGAGGAACCCAAAGGCCTTCCCTGGCCATTTAGCTGGTGCCCAGATGGATAAGACAGCCAGTTTTTGAAGAGGTTCAGTTGGAATAAATGGGGTGGGGAGAGGGAGCAGGCATCTTGCTCTCGAGGTCTCTCCACTCTATCAATCTGCATTTGAGAGCTTGTATCTGTCAATCTATATCATTCTTGAGAGATAGGAAATTTTGAAGCCATATTTATATGGCCACTAATGCCAACTAATTCCTGCTATATAGGGCAAATCCAGTCTGGTCTTAAAGAAAAGAACATGGCAAAAATACCTTCTGACCAGCTAAAGATAAAAGCAGATGACTGGGCTAAATAAGTAACAAATGATGAGGATGTTATACCCACGAATGGAGCCAAAGGGTGAAATCTGCCTGACATTCATTGGATGATATGGAGAAACATTAGTGCTGTTTGTAATCAGACTATATTAATATAACTATGTATAGTGTTATGTTTTCTTTAAAATAATCTTTAAAAGAGTTTCCTATAATTTACAAAAGGAAAATTCACCCAGTGGTAAGATACATATCAACCTATAGTCTGAGGCCCAAGTTTCACTAGCACAAGGCTGTATCTTAGATTTTTTTAATTTTTAAAGCATTTGAAGAAATATAAACTGGGGGACATATTTTTTTCTAACTTTTGCAAAGATCTCTCAACCTGAGCCCTAATGGTATTTTTAGGCTGGCTGGATTTCACAAGTCTTAATTGTTCCCTCATTCTGCTTGCTATTGAGAAAACTAGTTAAGAGAAGAAGCTAGTGTGGCATCCTCTGAGCCAGGAATCCCAATCCTGGAACCTTTCCTAAAGCAACATTCCACGAGAGGTTCAAAGTCAGAGATGAAAGTTAATATCGCCCATAATCAGATATAACAGCATCAAGTATTTTTTGATACGATTCCCACAAAAGGGCACATCACTTCCATAGTAATGCCGAAAATACGTAACCTCAGTTCAGTCATAAGAAAACATCAAATGCTAATTGAGAAACATTCTACATGATAACTTGCCAGTACTCTTCAAAAGAGTAACAGCTGTGAAAGACAAAGGATGGTTACAAAGAACGATGGAGGAACTATCTCAGACTGGAGGGGACTAGGAAACAGCTAAATGCCATGCAGGATCCTGGACTGGATCTCAGAACAGGTAAAGGGCATTAGTGGGAAAACTGGTGAAACTCAAATGAAGTAGATTAGTCAATAGCATTGCACCAATGTTAATTTCCTGGGTTTGATCATTATTCTATGGTTCTAAAAGATAATAACATTGGGGTAGCTAGGTAAAGAGCGTATAGGACCTCTGTACTATTACTGCAACTTTCTTGTAAGTATAAAATTATTTCAAAATGGAAAAATTTTTAAAAGTCATGCATGATATTATTAATTGCAGTGTTATTTATAGTAACCGAAACCGAAACTAAAAACAAAAAATACCTGGAAGGTTTGAACAACGGGAGATGAGTTTTCCAATCGATGGTATACCTTCTCAACCAAGCCATTAACAATGACAATCAGAAAGACAACAGCAACACAGCAAACGCTTAAGATACAAGATATAAAGTTGTCTGTATATAATGAGATTCTAAAATATACACGAGTTTGATCAAAAGCTTGAAGAGAAGGTGCAAAAAGTGAAATCAGAGGATATGTTAGGGTAGTGAAATTACAGTGATTTTTCTCCCTTATTTTTTGAACTTTCTACGTTGTTATTATGTCTTCTTTAAAATAATCTTTACAATAATTTCCTGTAATATATAAAAGAAAAATTCAGGGCTGTGGGGCTGTGCTTTCTTCACTTAAGCCACCCAGAAGAAAGTTGTAAGACAGTCTGCCCCAAACTTCACGAGACGGCAAATTACAGAGAACAGTTCAGGGCTCTTTTGCAATCCTAATGCCAGCAAGGGCCATTCCTCTAACTACCAAAATGTAACAAGTATCCATTTCTGGACAGGGAAAATGCTCATCTGTTTTTCTTCTGTGACAGTGTGCTGGGCCTGGCAGGAAAAGAGAACAGTAAATTGAATTTAGTTGAGATTTAGAATTTGTCCTCATGACATTTATATCACTAAACTGGGATGAAAAGATCCAGGCATGGCGGCCATTGCCCGAGTCCATAACTGAGCAGAGGGTCCGGTTCAAGAGCAGTTCCCAGAGCATTAACCACAGCCTCAGAGGCTCTAATCACTGGGCTTGTGAGTCTGGTGGTGGAACTGTGCCTAAAGGAGAGATTCAGTGGGCGTGATTGAGAAGACATACAGGTTCCTAAATTGTAGAGCCGGGGGCAGAAAGTATACGACTGATGAATCCTTGCTCACTGGCTGACTAATTGATAATGAAGATGATAATGATAATAATAATGATGTGCTTATTCAATGCTAAACACTATTATAAGTGCTTTACATATATTAACTCGTTTGATCCTCATAACAGCTCCATTTTACAGATGGAGATACTGAGGCACAGAGAAATGAACTAACCTGCCTAAGGTCACAGATAGTAAGGAGAAGAGCTGGGATTCCAATCCTTGTAGCATGTCTTGAGAATCCATATTCTTTTAAGCACAATGCTATTTTTCATTGATGGACTATAGTAAGTCAAAGAAAGGGAAGGAATGCTGGACAGGGAGCCAGGTCTGTCACAATAAGCTGCAGTATGACTTTGTGCATGCCATTGACCCCTCTGGCTTCAGTTTCCTTAAGGAAGTATGTGTGTGTCTATATGTGTAACGTAAATGTTCACGTGCAGGTTTCATATGCACATTCTTAAAGGTTCATAAACACCTTTAGCCCACAGATCGTTCTGCTGGAGAAGATGGAGGAATGGTAGATAATATTCACCCAACTTGCTCCCTTGCTCTCCCCTAAACTATATCCATCCATCCATCCATCTATCCACCCACCCACCCTTCCATCCATCCATCCACCCACCCACCCACCCACCCATCTGTTTTTCTTTGTTGAAATCATCATTCTCTAGCATATGTTACAATTTTTTTTCAGACTCTTAGGAAAATTGATTACCATCATGATATATACAGATACCCTCCTGGAAGCAGGTAAACAGTTGTTTTGCACTTGCTCAAAGGAGTAAGTCATTTCGAAGCCTATACAGTGGGCCACATCCCTGTTCGAATGACAGTATCTTCTCCAGTTTCCTCTCAATGCAAGCCCCTTCCACCCCCACTACAACTGACATCCCATAATGAACAGTTTAGGAATGCATATGTAAGAGGTGAGAAAGAATTTCTGATATTTCTACAGTTTTTAAAAAGCCCCCGTGGGCTTTCGAATGAAGGTAAAAAATACTCCGAAAACATCACCCAACAAACTCGTTTTGGGTGACATGTCTTGACTCATTCTGCTGAGGCCTGCATATGCAGAGGTAAAAATGACCACCGGAGCCCTATGCCCACGGACATGAGCTGCCCTCAGCATTCCGGTTGTTACTGCTGGCTGCCCTGGCTCTCTCCAGCTCTGGGTCCTCAGGCGCTCACCTCACCGTTGAGGACTGCCAACTCCTGGCTCCTGTCTGAGGTGGGGTGCACCATGGGGAGGGCTGTGGGTTTTATAGCGATGAGCTGCACAGATCCTGAAGACGTGTCAAAGGGATCAGCAGCCGCCTTGCCGGAGTTGTCAAAAAGAACTGCTCCTTCCTCTTCATCACTTGCTGGCACTAAAGCACAAATAAACACATCGATTTTATGGTTGCTGGGGAGCTGCACAATCATGGGGGACTTTACATTTAACGCTCACAGCCTAAGGACATTACTCAAAATGACCTGGAGAATAACAGCGTCTGGTTTTGTGCCAACGGCTCACTGCTACTCGTGTATTTCTTTTAAATTCAAGATCTACACCATTCATCCCTCCACTGCATTATCAATGGGTAGAAAAGAATTTTAAAGGTTTAAATTTAAGCAGTAAAAGCTATTCTTTCAAAATTGTGACAAAAAGCTTTTATTTAAAAAAGTAAATTTTTTTCTCTGTTTTTGAAAAATGCAATTTGGCCAAACTTGGAGCTATTCGTAAACTGTGGCAATCAACAGAATAATAGCATTCAGTTCAGTTTCTGCCTCCAAAGTTGCCCATTTTTGCACGATGTTAAGATAATGAGTCTTCCCCGGTCACAGTAATTGCTACTGGCACTTTATTTTTCTCCTTTCTAAAGGCTGCTTCTCCAATAATTTGGGTTTTGGTTTCTTTCATTTGTCTAAAACAAAAGAAATAACTACCAGAGAAACTAATTTAAAGCTACAGACAACTCCTCTAATTAAATAGAGCAATTTTCACCTACAGTCTTTTAAATTAATTCTCGCCTCTGACAAGATAATTCTACTGCGATTGCTGAAAGACACCAGCCTGCCTTGTGCTTCCATAACTAAGCTGACGGAAGAAGTTCCAGGGCCAGTGGTATCTTGCTGATTACTTATTCTTAAAGCATATTCCCATTAAGAAACTATAAGAACAACAGTTTATTGAGCATGGCTTGGCAAGAGATAAATTAAGCCTGTTAAAACAACTAAACCAGCAGGCAATTTAGGAGCAAAGGAGGTGTTATTAAAATATGAATGTAAGAGAAGTATATTTATCTTTCCTCCTGTCTGCTCAAGAGAATGTAATATTATTTAAGTTATTGATAAACACCGTTTGTATCATTCTGTCACTTAGCATAATCACAGAAGATTTGTCAAATTAAGCCAAGTTAATTGTTATTTTACAAAGTGGTGAAAACACCTCAGAGTCCCGTAACGGGCTATAATTGGAATATCTTTTGCTTCTGTGGACTTCTTTGCAAATAGCAGGCCACCAAGTAGGCAGTGACAGAGGGAGGTCTCTATTCAGACATGTTACCAGATGCATATGTCTTTTTAGAGTGGAGTTTTGCTGGGCCACTCTTGCCTGGCCACCAAGATCTTCCACCGGACAATTGCTATGAAAGCCATCTGTGGCAGCCAGCCTCCAAGATGGTGCCTAGTAATTCTCAGCTCCTGATATTCTCAGCCACAATGAATAGGACTGACCTATGTAACCAAAAGGAAATTGATAAGATGATGATTGTTACTTCCAAGGCTAGGCCATTAAAAAACATTGTGGCTTCCACCTCTCTCTCTCTTGGCTCACTTACTCTGGGGAAAGCCAGCAGCCATGTTATGAGGATACCCAAGCAGCCCTTTGGGGAGGCCCATGGGGCAAGAAACGGACTCCTGCTAACTGCTCTGAGTGAGCCATCTTGTAAGTGGGTTCTGCAGGCCAAGCAAAGCCTTGAGATGACTGCGGCCCAGGCCGACATCTTGACTGCAACCTCATGAGATACTCTGCACCAGAACCACCCGGCGCGGTCACTTCTGAATTCCTGACCCACAAACATTACATGAGATAATAAATGTAGATCATCATTTTTGGTCGCTGGGTGTTGGGGTAAAACTAATACACCTCCTAAGCCACCCCACTCCTCTAAGCATCCACTCTTGTCCTCTTACCCCTGAAAGACAAACTCCACCAGCCCCCAGCATGGATTATCTTTCGAAAAGTAACCAGATCCCAGTGCTCCTCTGGTCAGAACCCTCTGATGGTTCCATGTCTCTCAGAATAAAACCCAGAGTCTTTAGTGTGGCTGACGAGGTGCTATACCATCTGGTCCTGGCCACCTTGCTGAGCTAATTCCCTGCTCTCCCCTTATTCACTCTGCTCCAGCTACAACAGCGTCCTGGAGCCCATGGAGATTGTCCCTACCTCTGGGATTTTGCATTAAGCTGTTCTCTCTGCTCTGAATGCTGTTTCTCTAGGTCTTTACATGCCTAGCTCCCTCCTATTTTTCAAGTTGTAACTTGAAAAAGACTTTCCTTATCCACCAATCTACAATAACCTGCCTCATCACCCCATTATATTTTCATCACGGCACTTACCACTGTTGATTTGTTGTACTGATTTCATCTGCCCCAACCCCTGCCACTCAAATATAAGCTCCAATCTTGCCCATCTTTTAAATGACGATGACTATTGCCTTTAGCAATGTCTCACATGCAGTTGGCTTTCAATAAAGATTTGTTGAATAAGTTAATGAATAAAGGAATGGCTAAAATTTCCTGGCTTGTAAAGGAGGTGTTAGTACCTGCGGAACAGGTAAATATGTGGAGATTAATGTCACACTATCACTAAACTGTTCAGGGAGTAAAGAGATGATATTTGCATTTTTACTGCTTCTAGGTTGTGACACCCTCATTTTCCGCCCAGCAGACAGGATAAGGGGAGAAGCATAACTCTAATGAGAGAGAGGGGGGGGGGGAGAAAACACCCTGGAAACTGTACAAGCTGTAGTTCTAGTCTATCTCATTCTCAAAAAAGTCATATTCAGATCTGCACAATAATTCCTCTAGGTTTAACAGAAAAATAATTAGTTATCCCCCCAAGACTGTATGGAAAAATACATTAAAAGGCACTACATTAAATATTAATACATTAAAATGTTGTGTGAGTACAGTAGGTTCCTGGGGATATTTAGTGCATAATTAGTCCCCAAAGAAAAAAGCATGAGAGAATGCTAAACAAAAGGACCACAGTTAAACAGAGGAAGTGTCCTAGATACCATCACATCATCACAGTAAATGCCACCGAACGACCATCCTGGATCTAGGTGTGTATTATCTGCACTGAACATCTGTATGTCAGGCTGGAAAAGGAGATTTCATTTCTTTGTGTTTGAATTGGCATTGGGGGAGCCCTCCCATTTAAGGCAAAAAATGCTCTGAAACGAAGCACGCTCTTTCTTTCTGGAATTTTCATTAAAGCTCAGAGACAAATAATTTATAACGAGCATCACTGCGCTCTGGTGTTGTTTATCAGATAATAAGCAAGTTTTTACCTTATTGGGAAGGCAAAGAAAGAATTAAAACTGAAACTTTTTGAGGTAACATCTCTCGCGAATCCTCCTCCTGATAAGAACATAGTAACTCGTCCTCTCTATTCTCTGATTCTTGTCCTCCTCCAACCCCAAGTGCCCCATAACTATTAGAAGACAAGGTCTGATTAGATTCTGAGCTTTGGCAGTGAGATTTTAGTGTCTTAAAGGTAGGTGCACACTTAAGGGTTTACAGAAATTTTTGCTCTTTAATGACCAAAGATGCAAATACATATAGTATGTTCTCGCGTGGAACTTATTTTTAACTCTCTTC